TTTTCAGTGAAAGTCTTGGCCGCTTCGATGGTGTTTGCACAGCAGACAAACAAAGAGCATCTTCTTAAAAAGCAAAGCCAGTTGGCAGGCAATCAAACGCTGAATCAACGCGTCGGGAATCAGCCAGGCAGCCCTGAACATCACAGGAGCATGGTGGTGACCGAGGGCTGCAGCTGAGGCTCTTTCTCCATTCAGGCTAGAGAGAAAGTAAATATAGGGGTTTAAGTTGCAAATTTTGGCTGTGTTGAAGCAGTACCTCTGCACGCAGGGGTCCAAGGCAGCTGTGTACACGACTGAACAAGGGCAGTGCAGGAGCTGGAGCGGGCTGTGGGACTTCGTGTCCTCGCGGCGGTGAAAGACAAGCAGTTGCAAAAGAGTTTTGAAGTCGCTTTTTTACAGATCAAGTGGAAAATTGTCTGGGCTTCTGGGTGAAACATTTTTTCTTGTTTTTTTTTTACGGGAGTCCTGGCTGGCCCGTAGCAGTAGGATCAGCCTTTCGCATTTGCTCCATTTATTGCATGTTTGTAAACTTATTTCTAACATTTAATTTTAAAAAGAAATCTCTTATTAAAGCTGAACTGGAAAGTATAAAAGCAGGTTATCTTGCAGGAGCAGAAACATATGGACGTGTGCGTGTGCGTAGGCAGGACATCCTCTTTGTGTGCCTGTACCTGTCGTTAGGCTTTCTGAGCATCTTCCCTGCATCTTGTACCAGTCATGTCAGCATCTTGAAGTGATATTTGCTATTTTGTGGCCCAGCTGATTTCAGAAAGGCAGTGAATGACACAGATCCAGCCTAAATAAGATTAGAGGCTTTAAAAGCTAAATAAACTAAGAAGAGCAAATCTAGCTGATAACATGGCCTCGATAGAAGGCTATAAAGCACAGGGAGTTAAAGAGTTACAGGTAGTTACCGTCCCTTCTTCCTTAGCAGTGTGGAGGCTCAAGAGGAACAGGTTGAACTCCTCAGCTTATCAGCATGCCAGGAGCAACAGAAGACAAAGATGAGGGGCCAGAAAAGCTTTGAGGGAACAGAATTTAAACAAGCACC